ACTTGCCTGATGATTACTTTGAAGAAAGCTGGAGTTAGCAATGTTCAGAAAGACTTGGTAGCAAAATTTGAGTGGATGGAAACGATGATGGGTTTTCCGGCCAGTTTTTTGGTGTTCACAGGTCAGTTTCTCTGTCCAATCATAAAGTATCTGCATAGCTCTCTCTTTCATGTACTAACTTTCTGCATCTTCATCTATCTCTGTCCTCACCACCTAGATGAGAGTAGCATCTGTGGCCGAGATCTCCTTTGGAAACGACAACGATCGAAGAAAGGCAGACACACCACCCGCAACGTGCCCAGATTACATCGAGGACGATATTCCCTCCTTCCTGCAATCAGATATCATGATCTACTTGCTCTCTTGGTGCTGGAGGGCCCTGTTAACCGAAAGCGATTTGAACGCTTCCTCAAATATAGCCTGGTAAGTTTACTTTTCTCTGGTCTGAACTTCAGCTTTTCAACTCCTGATATGTATGCTACCTCAGCTTCCGCGAATGAACAAATACCCAGGTCCTAACAGTGTGCTTGTCCTGGACAATGCATCCATACATCATGGCGGTGAGATTGAAAAGCTCTGCGATGAGAAAGGTAAATGCAATCTCTTCTTTGACAAACAATTATAACACATTCCTCTGATACAATTGTCTGCCTTTTAGGAATTCTTCTCAAATACCTACCTGCATATTGCCCAGAGTTGAACCCGATTGAACTGGGCTTCAACTGTTTAAAATCCGATCTTAAGCGGTCTCAAGTACTAGCTTGTATACATGATCCCGTTGAACACATTGAAGATGCGGCCTGCAAGACGTTCCAACAAGCATTGTTACACCAACTCTATGCCCAATGTGGTTTTAAACCTTTTGATTAAAGTAGAGAATGGAAATGATTGTGATTCTTTTTGATACTATCAATGTCTCAGTTTGTTTCTTCCTGAACTTTGATTGTGAACATTGTTGAGTGTGATTTTGCTTGTTTGCAAGATCAATTAATGATTTGTTGAAACAGTCTCTTAATTTCAAGTCAATCTTTAAATTGATCGACTTCAACTTTTTCTTCTACTTCAATCGATCTTGATGATTTAAATGGTTCAGATGAAATTTCTAATCTAGAATCAACTGGTTCTCCTTATTGCAATCAAAAAAGTTATTGATTTAGTTATGTTGAACAAAATACAAATCTTAAAGATGGAACTTCTGATATTCATTGAAAGTGAATGATGGTTCTATGGGAAACTTGATCAGAATTGATAATTTGGCTTTGATTCAAAATTTCAAGCCCAATAGAGACATTCTGGATGGAATTGAGATTGGTGGGAAAAAGTAGTTTATGTTGACTTTGAAGCTTTTGAATTGATTTCACGTGAGAACAATTCAAAATCTTGATTTTTTTCCACAAAAGCACAGTTTTGTTATGGGCACAACAAGAACACTTCATTGTTTGTTCCGATTCAAAAAAATATCATTTGCTCACAAAAAACTCGACTTTGGGAGAACAAATGAGATACTTTATTGTTTGGTCCAAAAAGGTCTCTTTTCAGGAAAGCAAAAGACTTGAACAACAATGAGATACCAATCCAAACAGCCCATGTCTTTTGATTACCAAAACACAACAGAAAACAATCATAAATTAACGCTCACAGATGTTTGGTAGCATACAAGATAACAGACAACACAAGAGATTCATGGTGTTATTGGAAGGAACATAGAGATGAACATTCTTGAAGAGATATGTCACATTTTAGTAGAGGTAATATTGGGAGGACCGTTTGATGATTTGAAGAAATAAACGAGAAATCGCCTCCTTGAAAAAGTCATTGTAAATTACGATGTAGACGGGTTGTTTCCAGGCTTACTTGCGTCGCGCGCTAGACGGCTCTTATACTTCTTGGTAGCTTGGAAAAGCTTCAAGACACCCATCCGGGATAATCCTTCCTTCATCAGTTCCTCCTCGGATATAAGGTTGATCATTCGATAGTCGGTCACATCAGCCTCCTCCAAAATTTTGCGGATCTTGTTGTTTTTTTCTTCAGGGTATGCACCGAAGTCAAGGAACCCGTCAATACCGTTTGAGTCTGAGGTGTGTTCGGCCCATATGGGAGATGATGACCGCGGCTCAGGACTGACCGGGCGCTTGCGAGAGCTGTGAGTTGGAGTTCGATTTTGAAAACCGGGTGATGGTCTCTGAGGCGATTCCCTCGCTTCGACTGCTGGTCTCTGAGGTGTTTGCCTTGCCTCGATGGCTGTGACAACTCCTACTACCATCTCACTGAATAACGCTGGGCTGAGGGAAGTAGTGGTGCTGGTAGGAATAGGGTTTTGGGTTGCAGCCGGGGGATCTTCGTTGTTGCGCTTGGTCAAGTCATACTTGAAATGGGCAGGAGGGCTGTTGAAGGCTACCTCATCTTTGTGCTACATACAAAACAAATAATAAAATAAGAATCAAGTAAGATTGATCAGATTATCAGTGACTTACTCGTAATTGAGCCCACTCCTTGGCTTTTCCAAAAGTCAAAGCAAAATACTTTGTTGAATCTTCAGGATCAATGACGGCAGGATATTGATTGTTATAGGCACCAATGGTTGGGTAAGTATCATAAAGTAATTTTATAAACTTTTTCTGCTCAGTCTTTTCTGACTCGCTTGATATATCAGATCTTGCATCTTCAGCCTGTCATAAGCCGTAAGAGTTAGCCACCATCAACTTTGAAAACAAAGAGACTGCACTTACTTCGTCGGGTTCCAGATCATCTGGTATATTGGTAGGTGTTTGTGTAGCTTTTGCCGTAGCACTAGCGCGGAGCTTTTGTTTCCGCTTAGCCTCAGCAGCAATAACTTTGGTTTGGGCTGCCTACAGGAGAGATGGTATGAGTTAGTGTTGACCAGACCCAGGACCAATAGAATGTCAAGAGAAAGAACCCACTTGATCTGCATCGGCCTTGATCTTGGCTGGACTGGGTGCAATACAAGAGAACCCTGACTCTTTTGGGTATTCTGCTTCAGCTTCTTCCACCCAGTCCTTGAACTTTTCCGGATTTAATGCCTTACGATTTTTTAAGACCTTGGGGAAGCTCTTATTTGATGAAATGTAGGCAGCCCAGACACCTAAATTCTTCTTGTCAAGGAGTGACTCTTTGAGCAAATCCGTAATAGATTCCTTGGTTTTGTCACATACTGCTACTTCAATACATTTTTCTTTCAAAAGTTCCAAATTAAAACAGGTCGAATTCCATTCAACTGGACAGTTGGAGCATCTGACTTGGAGAAATCCAGATTTCTGTTCCTTGTCAGGGGCGTAGAACTCGCAGCTGAAAAGGAAGGTGAAAGTTGGATTGTCCTGATTGTTACAAGGGCTCTCAGATTCTTGTTGTTTCTGGAAAAAAGAGAGACAAAGATCAGTATGCATCATGATTCAAAGTTGAGTGGAGAGGTACCTTATTAGATTGAGATTCCATTGGTGTTTGGGGCTGTTCAGGTCCGGAGTCCCAGCTGAAGAAAAGCGGGTTGAGATGTTGACGTGAACTCATGCTTGAGCAAGCAAAAAACTGCACCTGGAGATGGAGATGGTGCACTGAAGAGAGCACGGCACAGGATTTTCAGTCAGTGTGCCCAAATTTGACTGGTTCAGGAGTTGGCTGCGGCGCAGTGCTGCAGTGGGTAGCCAAAAAAAAACCCCGGGCTCAAGGTGTCAACCTTTTTAGCAAAGGTAATAATTTCCGTGTCAAAAATGAAATTTGAAAAGTATGTGACGCCAGATACATATGTGGTGCCACATAGTACTTTGAGTACCCTTACTGTACAGTGAGTTTCTGTCATGCAATGGCTCTGCCGAGTCACGCGATAACTGCCGAGTCCCTGTCTTTTGACTGCCTTCTTCCACCGTGAGCGACCTGGTGATGAACCACCATCACACAACTATACAATGCATCGACTAAGATATCAAGCAATCATAACAAGTATGTTTGATCTTTTAGGTATTCTAATGGCACTCAGAAAGAAATGGGAAGGATTGGAAATGGTTCAAAGATGACAGAAGACAGAAAGCGATAAACGATCCGGATCTGAGGTTTTGAAGTTAAAACTTAAAAACGATGTTATTCTAAGCTTGAAGAAGAATCCAGACTGATAAATTTCATCTTCATCCGGTCATTATCGGCTCGATATGGTACAGCTTCTAACTTGAAGTATCACGTACTTACCAGGTACTCTACATACGTGATCAATATGTGAAAGTCTCCGGACTCTCGATTGACATAGTGAGACCACAAATCGAGTTACATGTTTGAATTTTGAACGCATACATACGTAGAATGGTCAAGAGTCAACTAAAGATTTGATTGATTCTAGTTTACCAATCATCCTCTACGCTCATGTCCACATCACTTTACGCACCCTTTCGATCCCTTGGTCACGTTTCCACCGACGTACCATTCTCTCTATTGGCCCATTCAACTCAAGCTTCTGCTATCTTGGGGCCCAATGCGTCTCAAAAATCATCTCAAGTTATTCTCACAAGTCTTGGAATCGGATGGGCACTTTGGACAACGGATTCCTTGAGACTCTTATATGTTGGTACGCTCTTGGTTAATCTGAACTCCTACGATTTTAGGAATCAATGATTACTTATTCATCAATCTATAATCCAATTTAGGTCCTTTGACTCCATGTCCCATTACTTGGCTTAGTATACATCCAACGGGTTTGATCTTGGCTTCAGCGGGCGAAAATATTTATGTTTACAAACGAACCAAGCTCACTAGTATCCTACGCACGAGCGCCCTCGATGAACAATCAGATAGTCCGGATTGGATCGCTGGCTTCAAGGCATCGAACTCTAAGCAAGGCATCAGAGAATTCCTCACATATGGAAATCAAGTCGTCGGGCTCTCTACTTGCGGGCGTACAATCTGGGTCTGGCATCTTGATAATCCTCAAGGTATTCATTCATAATATTGTGGTGGTCTTATCCTGTGGCGCACACTGATTTTCCTGCTTACCTTCAATGATAGAACTTCATCTTACTATCGATTTACCTTCGACCTTCGGTGTGGCTAGCACTCTGATACATCCTGCTACTTATGTTAACAAAGTTGTGATAGCCTCTGAGCAAGGCGGTTTGGCAATTTACAACGTTCAAATCGGTGCTCTCATTCACATGTTCCAGCCGAGCTTGTTTTCCAGACCGACCAAATGCAGATCCAAGGGTGCCAAGGTTCCGATCACTTATATGGCACAGGGCCCTGCTGTCGACATTCTGGCCGTTGGTTTCGCCGATGGGTGGTGCAGCTTGGTAGACATTCGCTTCGGAGAAGAGATTCTGGCTGTTAAGATGGGATCTGATTCACCTGACGATCCCAACGAGTCAATCACAGGCATAGCTTTTCGATCGGGTGAGTGCTCTTTCAAGTTGAACTACGAAACATTTTTGGTTTCTCTCCATTTCTCATCAAGTCTTCATGAAAGAAAACCGTCTGAAAGATAGATTTCAAAGGGGTTTTGATTCTCTTCCTGCTGTTTTACTTCTGTCTCTGACAACAATCTGAATGGGTTGATAAGATTCCGATTGTCAACTCCTCGTTACTAGCTCCTCTCAGGGACACCTGGCTATCTGGAACATGAACCAATCTGGACAGCTCTTGCACATCCTTCGCGAAGCCCACGACTCCGCTGTATCAGGTGTACAATTTTTGCCGGGTCAGCCTATCATGCTTACCGCTAGTGGTGACAATAGTATCAAGCTATGGTTGTTCGAAACCCCTACCGGCCTGCCTCGATTGCTCAGTCAGCGCTCTGGACATCAAAAGCCTCCACAGCTGATAAAATATTACGGCGATGACGGTAAAACAATTATCAGTGCGGGTAAAGATGGAACTTTACGCTCCACCAGCGTGGTCCGAGACTCGAGAAGTTTTGAAATTAGTCAAGGCTCACTCGCCAAAAAGGCTTCTCAATTGGCTACGCCTGTTTCATCGCTACGGCTGCCTCCTGTAACTGGCTTATCATATTCCACGTCGAGAGCCAAGGATTGGGACAATCTCTTAACATCTCACGAGGGACATCCTGAAGCGAAGTCGTGGTCAGTCCAGAACAAACGGATAGGAAAACATTCCTTTTCGCTCACCAGTCACACATCCTTCAAGCTAGCTCCCCCAGAAGAGGTTACGCGATGTGTTTGTGTGACAGCATGTGGAAACTATGGCTTATCAGGAACTCATGGTACTGGCCGAATAGGCATGTGGAACATGCAAAGTGGCATGAAACGAAGAGAGTTTATTATACCGACTTCTTCGAAGGTCCGGGCAACTAAGACTGATAGCAAGGTAATGGGAATCGCGACGGATGTTCTGAACCGCTTTGTCATCATCTTGACACATCCGGGAATCATCTACGTAAGGTGACTTTTCGTACAAGTCCTATTTTGTTTGGTGGCTGACATAGACTTATGGTTGATATTTCGCAGTTCTATGATTTTATGTCGGCAAAACTCTCTCATACTATCACCCTGCCATGCGCTTCTTCTATCATGCTTCTACAGCGTGATAATGGTCTTCTTGCAGTCGCGTGCGAGGACCGTCATGTCAGAGTGTTGGATATCGAAACTAGGCGGACTGTGCGAGAGTTGGGTCCGCTTCCCAAGCCGGTGCTTGACATGGTTAGTCTTCATTATAAGCTAGGATCACATCAGTCATATGATCTTACCACTATCACTTCAGGTTTTTTCACCAGATTCGCGTTGGCTCGTAGTGACGAGTGCGGACTCTGTGATCCGGACGTACGATCTTCCCACTGGCTCGTTGATTGATGCATTCCGGACCCATAGTGTCGCTACTTCAATCACCTTCTCACCAACGGGCGACTTCTTAGCTTCGGCACATGTCGATAGTGTTGGAGTGTTTCTTTGGGCGAATCGGGCCCAGTTTGCCGAAGTTAGTTATAAGAGTCTCGCAAAAGACGCTGAAATCCCTACACTTGAAACTCCCCTCTTTGAAGGCGTCGAGGACCACACAACAAGTATCTTGGAAAGTACTCCCAGATCGGGAACTTGGCAGGAAGATAGTTTGGAAGAAGGATTATCCTTGATCCCGGATCCATCCTCAGATGGATCGATTACATTATCTTTAATGCCGAAGTCCAAGTGGCAGTCTTTACTGAACCTTGAGATTATCAAGGTATGTTTTCTCTTTCCGAGTCTGACATCACCATATCACCCTACCTATCACTGATCTCAATTGATACGCAGGCTCGGAATAAGCCAAAAGAACCTCCCAAGACAGCAGAGGCGGCTCCTTTCTTTTTGCCCACTTTGTCCACAAACGGCCGTAAAGTCGGTTTGGATAGTATCTCAGGGGAGACAACATCTACAACTCAAGCGGATAACGGATCTAAGAAGCGAAAGTTCGACCTCGGCGACAGTGCTTTGGTTGAATCAGAATTCACCAGAAGACTGATGAAAGATGAATCTGATAAAAATTGTTAGTTCTTTGGCTCAATCTTATCATGCACTATGCTCCTTCAAGCTTAAGGTAGCGGAAAAGGTATGAAAACTAACAATCCATGATTTTTTCGTGTCTGACAAAGATGAAGATCTCTTCGAATACGTCAAAAACCTATCGCCATCGGCCCTAGACATCGAGCTGCGCTCCATCACTACAGATGATCAAATGAAGGCACTTTTACGAGCTCTTACTGTACGATTGACATCAGGAAAAGAGTTTGAAATGATTCAAGCTATCCTGAGCGTATTTTTGAAGATTCATGGTCAAGAGATCATTGATATCAGAGAAGATCTTCCGGGAGACCTGTTAGCATGTGCAATGGATGATGAAACGACGAGTCTAACGGATACGATGCGTAGGTTATTGATTGCTCAAGAAGCTGCAACTTCTAAATTGAAAAGATTAGTAGATTATGGGATTGGTGTTAGTGCGTTTGTTAGAGGTGCTACAGGGGTGGTATGAAATTTGAAAGATAGCTAGTTTTTCCTGTGGATCATCGCAAGCACAATCCGATATACCATATACCACGGCTGATATCATATCATGTAGTTTCTTTTTAGTTTTGTCGTAATGATCCATCGGAGCTTGCAAAAAAGCTGTCCATGGGTTCGAACATTTCAACCTTTGACCCATGCTTTAGTATCTGTTCTAAGCTATGTGCCCTGCAGGAATGCCAAGAGGAAGAGTAGTTGCTGTATTTACTAGACGTCCTTTGACTTGTTTTCTTGATTCACGGCTGCAAGTAGGCTTGACCAATCCGGAGTGCACCATATCTTTTTGTTTTGCTACATAGACCTTATCACCTACGTCCACAACACTGAATCTTCTCCATGTATTTTTGATTCACAGTTGCCTCAGCTTACAATCACCGTGTAATTATGGACCATGATGCAAAGCCTATATTTCTCACTTTTATGTTGTTGATCAAAGTCAAAGACCTCAGACCTGAGTAATTGCAAGTTTGCATAATTGGTCCCCATTTTTAGATTCATATAATGTACCCCTAAGGTAACTTCAAACATCTTGCAGTTCTTTGCCGTCTTCTACTGGTGTCCACTCATTCTGAATTCACTAAGACTTATTCAAATCAAAATCTGATTCATCAAGACTGATATCTTGGCTGTACCTTAGGTCAGCTCTCTCTGGCCTTGTTTATACAGGATCCACAGGCATCATTTCCTTGCCCATATTTTATCTTATCTTCTAGCTTGAATGGTACCATTCTGTATATATCAATCACTCATCATACAATATGAGCTCTGCTTCAACACTTGACTTGTTTGCTGATCAGCTTCTGAACTCTCTCATATTTGAGATGTACAATTGAATTTGGTCTACCTTACCTGAATAAACCTCTACAGCAACACAACTGGGCTGTGTCTGCGCTTCCACTCAGTATTGAGGGACTTGTAAGGGTAGTGCACTTACACCTTTCTTTCAAGAAGCAGAAGAAAGCTGTTCCTCTTAAACTTGACAAAGTCCCAAGCTGTTGCTTGCAACCCAAGCCCCAGCAAGGGACCTATGTCAAACTTGCATGCAGACAAAGGTCAGGAACAAGAGTATGGTTGAGGACATTCTTGCAAGTCTTTGGTATCTTTTTTTTACAAAGGAATCCTGCCAGACCCATAATAAACATTATGTGTGATGTAGTCTTGCGCATGTTGTACACTATTTTTTCCCAAGGAAGTTGTATCCTTCTTGCCCAAAAAGCTCCCCAACGCTTGGCTCTCAACTGCAGATAGCACATGTAACTTTTCTCTTGAGCTCTAGATGAATACAGTCAACCCTTGATGTATGCATCTAGTATGTGGGCATATCACACTATAGGCATTGAAAACTCTGCACTGATTTTTGGGGAATGCAGAGTGCCTTCAAAAATAGACTCCTTGATGTATAATTAGTATTGCATACAAGAATCTACCAAAAAGAAAAGATTTATGGTTATAAAGTGGATGAAAAGGTGCACATATATTATAAACATATGTGACCAATATTGAGGTGGATATGCTTATTTTAATTGCAATACAAATTTCCAATAGTCAAGCTGACCCAACCAAATCTCTAGCTTTTCTTTCAATTTGCTTAAACATCATGTCTAATTCATTGCTTTGAGACTTTATGACTGTCAGTGCTAGGAAATTTTGAACAATCAGAGGAAAGCAGAGATAGCTCCTGCAAGAGTCTCTCAACCCAGAAGTTAAAACACTTAAGGCCCTCTCACAAAGAAATTGTCAAGATAAAATTGAATGAGAATCAATTGAAATCCAAGAAGAGTCAGATTACAATCCTAAACCAGAACTTAAGAAATAAGTTACGCCCTATCCAACCAGTGAAAAGACTCTGGGAGCATGATAACCTATGTGACTTATGTCTGATATTTATACTTAATGTAAAACACTTACATGTGTTTTTTTGCTGAAGCAAACCAGTCTTTTGTAATGTCTGCTCCTGTGGCTTTGGTTTCAACTTCTCAATCTTGACCCAATCTTACTACATCCCTCTTTACAACATTGAGCCAGTGCTTTGCTGTTGGTGTGCAACATTGAGCAACACAAAGCAATGAGTAGAAGGGAAAAATGCAAGGCAGCACATTGAGTTGGTCCATTTCCCAATGTGTGTCCCCCTTTGGGTCCCAATTTTCTACTGTTGCAATGTGGTGTGGTACCATTGTCAGAAACACAACTTGGAAATGAGGTATGCCCTGCTGATATGGTGGGTCACAGACTGAGGCTTGTGTTATAATAATCGGCTCAGCATCCCTTGAAAAGGATCTTGTCTTGATTTGAATGACCACATTGTAATTTCTTAGGGTACATTTGGTTGCAATTACAAATTGTAAACTCCATTTGACCCCAGGTACATTGCCCTGGGGCAAATGAGTTTATTGTTCAAATTGATTTTTCATCAAATAAACTCCGTTTAGGGTACATTGAAGAGAATCACTTTTGGTTGAAAATCCCAACCAGACGTATCTATATGTAGTCAACTCTCTTTGAAGGTTTCTCAGCTCAGCTCAGCTCACTTCACATTCTACCACTTCACATCCACCCATATGGACATCCTCTGGCAATGTCCGATACAAGTAATGATCATATGATACAACCTTTGTCCCCATCCAACAATCTTTTGCCCAAACACGCTCACAATAACAGAAACATGTCCCACCAAATTCAACACTCTCCACCACTTCCTATTTATCTCATCTTTCAAGAGTGATTTGTTTTGAGATTTTTTGAAATTCAACAATTGATTGAGATTGATAGAATGAAGTTGAATGATTGATTGGTTTTGAAAAGTTGATCTAAAATTGACCGATTGATTGAAATTGCAAAATTGACTGGAAATTGAACAATTGATAACTTGTTTGTTCAATCAAAATTGGTTTTCAAGATTTCATTTGTACAATCAAAATAGATAACTTTTTACACAGGAAGCAAGGAGTAGAAGCAAAGATTGGCTTGTGAGTCTTGAGTATGATGGTGTAGTGTTGAAGATGTTGATTGAGTCAAAGAACAAGCATCTTATGAAGTGAATACATATTGTATCGATTGAGGAGGGTTGAAGTTTTTTGAGATGAAATTTTGTGAAGTACAAAAGGGAGTTTATTGCACGGATAAACTCCCTTTTGGCGTTTATCCAAAGTCCTGTTTTAAACTCCTTTTGGGACGGGGGAGGAGTTTATTTCTGGGTACCATAAGTGGTCCCAAATGTATTTTTTTAACAGCCATTATTTTGCAAAATAATCGCCAAAAATAATTGCTACCAAACGTACCCTTAGACATCAACAATTTCTTACACTTTCCTTTGTATAAAATCTTTGTTATATCTTGATACTTTAACAAATCAAGATTCTTATGCTTGAATAATCTTTTTTTACTTCAAAACTTTGATAACCAATTGGCTTATACATTGATACTTTGATAGTCTTTTCTTTTTCTCAATCATAATTCAATTGTGTATATTATGATTTTCCTAATATGGTATTTCAAAATCTGTTGTGTTGTGCCCAAGTAATAGAAAAAAACACATTTTGTGTTGTGTGAAATGGGTGTGGCTTGCAATGCAACACAACAGCCCAATGTTGCCCTCAATCACCTTGATTGATCTCTCTCTTTTTATTCCATTCTTTTTGTTTTCCACAGATTTTCTACATTGCTTGTTCCTTGATCTTGTTCAATTTTTTCCTTCTCATTTGAAGCTCAGCACTTTATCATTCCCTTGTCCTCTACATGACCTATGCCTTATGCTATGCCCTATACTTCATCAATCAAGTGCTGTTAAATATGAAAATACACCATTAGACTCAAAAACCTAGCATGGATTCATAATTTTGAACAAGCAAAAAATTTTGTACCAAAGAACTATGATTGCCCTACAGCTCTGTATCAGTTGTATTCAAATTACATTGTAAAAAGATTTTTTTTTCAAGTTTTCAATTCTTTTTCTAGTTTGGAGGCATCAATTCATTTCTCTTGCCAAAATGGTAAAAGGAGAAAGAAAGTCTTCAAATGGAGTCAAAATCCAAACCAAGTACTCCCCCATCTTCAAAAAGATGGTGGTTGATTCAGTTGGAAGCTTTGGTAATCAGATGGCTGCTGCTGCACATCACAATTTCCCTCAAAGCAAGTTGAACACTTGGATGCAGCAGTATGCACAAAGTGGGGGAAATATAGATTGCTGGAACCACTGTGAAGAGTGTGATCAGTCCAAGAAGGAAGTGATTGAATGGCACAATACACATGGCTGTGACATCCACCAAACAACCAAAACATTTCATGTTCACAAAAACACTCTTTCCAGATGGCTGAAGGTAGAAGAAAAACCTGTGGACCTTTTCAACAGGAGCTGTAAGCTTTATTCATTGAGCTTGTCAACACACCTTGTGCTGCTCAGAATCAGATGCTCCTTGCGCTTTATGGGTTGGCTCCTCATGATATTCATGTATGGCTTCTTCAAATGCCTCTCACTACAAAGAATATAATGTTTTCTGGGTAGAAAACGCAAATATTGATATACAAAAATATTGGGCAGTCAGGAGGAGGGCAAGAAATACATAAAAATATTGATATTTAGGGGATACAAAGTTAAAACTGGGATTTTTTTCCCAGTTTCCCAGTTTTCATTTTTGGCTGTGTTTGGAACTTTCCCATGTTCTCCCAGTTTCCCAGTTTGCGTTTTTGGCGGTATTTGGGAAACTGGGAAACTGGGAAAAAACTCCCAGTTTTAACTTTGTATCCCCTAATTGTTCCTGGTGTTGAGAGCTTCAAGTTGAGTATTTTTGTGTATTTTTAGAGGGTATATTGTTGAATGTACAGTCAGTGACAAAAAGTATACGTACCTGTACCATAGCTTGCCTATTGGGCAACTCTCAAAAAGCGTATGTACTCAACATCTGACTACTGATATACCTGAAATTACATGGTCTAGATGGCCACTCATCAGAGTACGTATGATTGAATTTC